TCTCTAATGGCCTCCTCCCTAATAGAAAGTTCTCCTAGCAAAGAGCATTGCGAATAATTGCTTAAACGCGCGAAAGCGTTCAGTACTCGACACGCGTGTGATGTCGTTAACGCGGCATAGCGATACGCTTCTTTCGATTCCTTGCTTTTTCGTTTGCATTTTTGTAATTCGTGGATATAATTGAATTCTTTGTTTTTTTTCTCTCGCGATTAATTCGAAAACAAATCCTAGATCCTTGAATTTTATGCTCTAAGCGAATAAACGGTGAGTACTTATCTCCGTTAAATTATAATTAAATATAATCATCGATGTATCCTCCTTAGCTTTTTTTTTTCTTTATTTCTTTTTCTTCATCCTTTTTTCTTTTTTCTTTCTTTTTTTTTTTTCTTTTTTTTTCCGTATATTTTTTAAAATTATCCAAAATTCATATGTGTTGTATTATTATTAGGATTAATATGAATTCTATCAAAAGTTTTTACGTGTATCAAATGTTTTTAAAGTAATTTCATAATCATTACGAAGACTTTATAAATATCGAAAAAAGAATTATTAGAATATATTTAAGAATATATCGAATAAATGTTTTTATTAAAGGAAATATTAATTTTTTTATTATATAGTATATTTGAGGGGTGGAAAAAAAAAAGGAAAATGTATCTATTAGAAATATTTAGAATATAAACAATAGGACATCATTTTGGATAATTAAAACGTAAATAAAAATAATTTCTTCTCTCAGTACTTGAATCATTGAAATAATTAATAAAATATTTCGCGAAATTTTTGATTAAAATTTATCCTCTATTATTAAAGGGTATTAAAGAAAGGGAAAAATAAAATATATATATATATATATATGTTTTTAAAATAATTTTGAAATCATTACAAAACCTTTCTAAATATCGAAAAAGAATTATTAGGATATATTTAAGAATATATCGAATAAATGTTTTTATTAAAAAAAATATTAATTTCTATATATATATATGTATATATATATATATATATATATATATATATATATATGTTTTTAAAATAACTTCGAAATCATTAAAAAACCTTTCTAAATATCGAAAAAGAATTATTAGGATATATTTAAGAATATATCGAATAAATGTTTTTATTAAAAAAAATATTAATTTCTATATATATATGTATATATATATATATATGTTTTTAAAATAACTTCGAAATCATTACAAAGCCTTTCTAAATATTGAAAAAGAATTATTAGGATATATTTAAGAATATATCGAATAAATGTTTTTATTAAAAAAAAAAAATATATATATATATATATATATATATATATATCCGTTCAGTACGTATAATAATGGATAGATGAAAAATTCAATTTTCGCAGAGTTTCGTAAAGAAAACTATATTTGCTTCTCGATAAATTGTAAAGAAACGTTGTCGAAACAGTTACGACGATGACAGTAATAACAGTATATGTAGTTTGCTACAGTTATTCGCCAAATCATCGTTTTCAATCTGAGAAACAAAAAGTAGGAAAAAAGAAAAGAAAGAAAAGAAAAAGTAAAGTAAAGAAAGGAAAGGAAAGGAAAGGAAAGGAAAGGAATGGAAAGGATAAAATGGCTCCCTTTATTGCGCAAGGATATGTATGAAAAAAAAAAAAGAAAAAAAAAAAAAAAGAAAAGAAAAGAAAATAATGGACGCGAGTTGAGTAAACTTGAGGAAGAATTAGCTGGTGCTAGCGAGATGTTAACGATCGATCGAATTAGATCACAAAAGGCAGGTGTCTCGTTTACGTAACAACGAAATTACGGAAGCCATTCTTTCTTTTCTTTATCTTCTTCTTCTTCTTTTTCTTCTTCATCATCATCATCATTATCATTGTCGTTGTCGTTGTCGTTGTCGTTGTCGTTGTCGTTGTCGTCCTCATGTGTGTTACTTCATCGACAAAGCTTCTGTCCACGAAGCATTATTCCGATTACGTGACTTTCAGATTCGACGAATGAAACTAATCGTTTTCCATCTAACACGTAGTATTTCACAATTCGTGTTATAATCCATCGAAAATTTATAACGAAATTTTATTTTAACGAGAACATTTATCGAAATTTATCGGAACTACAGTTAAAATCGAAATAGAAAATGTTCTGTCATTATAAAAAAAAAAAAAAAAAATTATTATTAGACGAAGGAGACTAATTGATTTTTTTTTTCTTTTTCTTTTTTAAATCACCCAATTATTTTAAATTCTCTTCGCTCTCATTCTGTACCTGGAGTAATAACCATTGGAAATAATTAAGAAATAATTAATTGTAATAGAGATTTGAAATAAAAAAAAAAGAAAATATTGAAATTAATTAGATTCCGTTAACTGATCGAATTAATTTATAACGATAATTTGATTACAGGAGACGAATAAGGATCGTACCAATGTCTCCAAGAAGATGTCGAGGGATCGTTCAGGCTCGGATTATTCGGAAAATATGAGCGATGTAACAACTTGTAGCTGTATGGCGAGCTCCGTCGAGAAAGTAATTATACAATAAAATTCAAACGCTAATTGAGAAAACACTTTTTATCTATCTTACTTATTTGCATATCGAATAGGATAATATTAAAACCATTGATAAGCGTAGCCTTGTTTTTTTCCGAGTAGTAAAAGAAAAAAAAAAAAAATTAATCTAATTCATATGCTTAACCAACTTTATTTATTAATTATTCAATTTGCAATATTATTTTCGTTAAAATTATTAATAAAAAAAAAAAAAAAAAATCTTCCAATCTTAATGACAGAGAAACTACAAACTCGATCGTAGTATGAACGAATGATTTTTTTTTCAATATTAAAAAAGAAGATGAAAAAAAAAGGAAAAAAAATAGAAAGCGTTCCAATGGACGATTTTAAAAATAAAAATTCATTTTTAATTAATTATCTTTCTTTTTTTTTCCCCTTGTAAAATTTTATTGTCAAATTATTCAGATCACAAGCTTGTTTCTTTTTTTTTTTCTCTCTCTCTCTCTCTTTTTTTGGTTACAACGTAAAAAAAGAAAATCATTCAAGAAAGTCGCGAGAGAGTAAGTAAAACGATCGATCTGTAAAATGATTTAAAAACTATAAATGACCATTATATTAATACATTTAATTATAGTGTTCCCTACGTGGCTGTGGTATGTTTCAAGAGCCATTTTTCTTACATCCACCCGGATCAAGACCAAGAGATGGAATTTATATAAATCCAATGAGTGCGTACATAAACGAGCCACAAAAACCAAAGGACATGGAGTCCTTTTATTTGCATAGTCCCCATGATCTCGTATATACAAGGATTACACATTTGTTCAATGACGTTGAGAAGCCACGAAATGGTGTTCTGGCATCAACCGAACAACGTCACGTTGAGAGGAAAGATGAGACTCTAACTGGTAAAGTAGCACGTCCTAGATATCAAAACATTAACTATGTCTCCAAACGTGTATATATATACATATATATTATATATATATATATATATATATGTGTACAAGGTGTCTCATGTTTTAAACTGTGAAACTTCACCAACATTTTTTTTTCTTTTCTGTTTTTTTTTTTTTTTTTTTTTTTTTTTTTGTAGAAATTAAAGGGAAAAATAGAAAAGAAAAATATTACGCTTAAAATGGACCCACGAATGCTTTATCATTATCACTTACGCTGTGTATTACTTTTGAAAAAAAAAAAAAAAGGAAAAAAAAAAAGGAAGAAGAAATTTGATTTATGTCTTCATTTAAAAATACCGTTCATCATGTTACAAATGTAAAGCTTGACACAGCTAGATAGATCGCGTCAATCATTTATCTTTTCACAAATTTCATGGTTTATTTTTCTTCGATTCATTTAATCGGCACTCATTTAATTCTAGTAAAATTTAATCTTTAATCGTTGTCGACTTTTTATTACATTTCGATGTATCAACGATTAACATTTATCATTGCCCTTTAGATTTTATTCTTTTCTTTTTTTTTTTTTTTTAGTCAGAATATTTTTATTATTATTATTATTATTATTATTATTGGTTTACTTTTTTTACTTTATCCTCTTTTCCCCATGTAAAATATATCGATGAAGTTCGATCATTTAAAATCTTGAACACCCTGTATATACAGATATATATGTATATATATATATATATATATATATATATGACGTTCTCATCTTTGGCTCCTTGTGTTCGACCTAATAAGTATCGACCTAGAATTTATCTCACTTTTATTTTATTATTTTTCTAATAACCTTACGATTAGCCCGATGATGATAATAATAATTCGATTATCTATTGTCAATAGATCGATGAAGATAAATTTGACGTGTTGATTTAATGGTTGAACGATTGTGATTACGTCATAAAACGTTTCAAGAAATTATCCGCAGTTTGTTGATACTATTATTAAAATCTTATATCTATATATCCATAGACTAATTTCTTTTCTTTTCTTTATAATTGTATGTTGGGTGAACGTCTAAAGGGTCCACGTGAAAAAAAAAAAAAAAGAAAAAATAATAGAGAAAGAGAGAGAGAGAGAGAAAGAGAGAGAGAGAGATTACGTGGTCGACGTCGTGAATATGTGCCGCGGGAAAACGGTCTATAGAAATGCACGTTATTATTTGTCTCAGAACCCGTTCAACCGTTATAACACCGAGTGACGTTCTCGCTTTTCTGAAGAATTATATGAATACACTTTGTTCGAGAAATACCGGTTGTAAACTCTTTCGATCATGATATTTTTAATTTATTATCAAAATTAAATTTTATACACATATATATATATATATATGTATATACAGGATGACTTTAAAAATTTTTTGTCAAATGTTCTTTGTATTATGAAAAATTCTTTTGATTTGATTATAAAAATCAATTATCCAAACATTACGATTAAATTTGTAGAATTAAAATCACAATTTTACGATCTCTAAAAGAAAGGAATAATTGATATATAATAAAAATCAATCCTAAGAATATAATCATCTATCTGCGTATACTTTAATA